GCAATCTGTTGATCACTGGGGCAATGCTTTAGAGCAGGTGTCTCCAAATTTTCTAAACAAAGGGCAAGTTTACGGTCCTTCAGACTTTACGGGCCACACCATGGCCATTGGGAGTAGAAAATATCAGTGGAAGTAAACAATGCCTCATCTTTGGTGTCATTGGGAGGAACTGTGCCCCATCAATGGTGTCATTGGTGGGAAATGTGCCCCAACATTGATGTCATTGGGAGTAATTGTGTCCCTTCGTTGGTGTCAGCAGATGAAATAGTGCCTCAAGGGCCGGACAAAAACAAACAAAGGGCCGCATCAGGCCCATGGGCCGTAGTTTGGAGACCACAGCTTTAGAGGCTCCTGCAACCAAAAATAATAAATGCATATTTTTTTACCTGCAAAAAAATGTGCATTTATTATTTTTTGTATAAAGGTGAACTTATCCTTTAAGTGGCCCTCACTCTTCAAAAAGTTGAGCACCCCTACTTTAGATGCAGTAGGAAGAGTACAGAATATATGATAGTGATGACATATTTCACATACATATTCTACTCATGGATAACAATAATATGTGTCCCATCCATTGCTGTGTTTCTGCAGGTGGTGTCAGTGTGCAGGACTTTGTCACTTTTGAAAATGTAATACCCATCTGAAAACAGCGGAATCTAGTTTTAAGGCTAGGTTCACACTAATGGGGTGCGGTATATCGCATGTGATTCACACAAAAACCACACCGCATTCCTGTGCAAATCACATGCGAATTGTGAGCGGTGCAATTGGAGCCATACATTCTGTATGGCTCCAGTCCCACCGCACCCGCACCAAAAAGGTGCAGGACCCTTTTTTGGGTCTGCACTAGAATCGGATCGCATGGGTATTCACACCAATGCAATCTGATTCTGCACATCGCACCGCGTTTTGTGGACCGATTTCGGGGTGTTGTTAACTTAACATATATACCCGCAGCAGTTCGCATGAACGGGGTGTGATTCTGATGCGGTGCAGAATTTTTTTTACATTTCCCCTGCAAAATAATGTCATAATGTGCTAATATGCATTACATACTAGCACTTTATGAAAGACTTACCTTAGAACAAAACCCTCCAGCGGCACGCTGTCACCGCTGATACCGCTGATAGGGCTTCCATCTTCACCTGGTCTTCCTTCCGGATTCTGGGCACTTGATTGGCCAAGCCACATTAACATCAATCTCGCTTATGTGCGTGGGAATCTGAACCACAGCACAGAGCTCTGAAGGAACAGTACGGGTATGCCGTTCCTTCGGGGCACATGCGACGGTGATGTCATCGGCTGCAGGGACACTGGATATCTCCTAAACGGTGCATGTTTAGGAGATATTCCTTGTACCTACAGCAGGGGCGTATTTACCACAAGGCAAACAAGGTACTTGCCTAGGGCGGCATTTTTCATGTGAGCAGCACCTTCCCCCAGAAGAAGGGATGAAAGAAGGGACGAAAGAAGGGACAGACATTTGCACTATGGGAACCAAATGGGATCTGAGAGAGACGGAAGGCTCTTCCGGGTGGGGGGCAGGAGTGTTGTTGGTCAATGTCAGGCTCTCTCTGTGGGAGGGGGGAGGGTTGTGTTGGTCGGTGTCTGTGGGGGCAGACGATGTTTGTGTTGCCTAGGGCAGCACAAAACCTACATACACCATTGACCTACAGGTAAGCTTTATTATACGCATACCTGTAGGTACAAGTGTCCAGTGGGAGTTTACTTCCACTTTAATATTGTGGAGGAGACTCGCTGTTCAGTTACCTTACCTGCATTAGGCTCTATTTCTTTCTGCATGCAGTCCCCTATACTAAAAATGACCCTTCCAAGCTTGGGGAAAAGTTTGGGATATCTTATGCTTGCCAATGTTCAGTTACCCTAGTTTCCTGTATCATGGTCTGTTTCTGTCAGCATGTAAATCCTATCTCAACAGAAGACCGTCCCAGGTTTGTGAGAAAACCGGGGACATCTTATGAGTGCCAATGTTCAGTTACCTTAGTCTCTTGTATAAAGGACTGTTTCTATCACCATGTGGACCCCTATCCTAAGTGAAGACATTTTCAAGCTTGGGTGAAACCTGGGGGCATCTTATGAGTCCCAATGTTCAGTTACCTTAGTCTCCTGTATCTAGACCTTTTTATAGTAGCATATAGACCCCCCATCCTAGCAGAAGACCTTCCCAGGGATGGGGGAAACCCAGGAACATCTTATGAGTGCCAATGTTCAGTTATTCTAGTCTTCTCTGTCAAGGTCTATTTCTATCAGCATGTAAACCCTATTCTAGCAGAAGACCCTCCCAGGGTTGGAAGAAACCTGGGGACATTCTATGAGTGCCGATGTTTAGTTACCCCAGCCTCCTATAACAAGGTCTATTTCTATCAGCATGTGGACCCCTATATAACAAAGGACCCCCTGTCAGGAATGGACTCGCCAATGGTGGTGGGACTCACCTGCCTTGTGGGCTGCAGTACCAGGGCTGGCCAGCGGGTGCTCTCAGCAACCAGAAGCTCACTCCTGCAGTCAGCCATCACCTGAGGCTGATTGCAGGAGGTGTATTTAAGGAATGGCCAGACCTGTAGTCAGTGCCTTGGTGTTTGTTTCACATGTGCCCTGTTTCCTGTATCCTGTCTCCTGCCTGCTCGACTCTCGTGCTTGACTCTGATAGAACTCCGCCTGCACTAACCCGGCTATTCCTGACCATTCTTCTGCCTGCTCCCATTGTATCTTTCTGCCTGATTGTTCCTGACCCGGCCTGCCTGACCACTCCACCTCTCCAGCCCTGACTGCACCTGTACCTATTAGTTTAAGGTTTGTTTTGTTTTGCACTGTGTTTGTTTATTTTGTACAGCTCATAATAAATATTATTATTATTTAGTAATTTCTGAAGCCTGCTGTTTCCCTGTGTCAGTCCACACATCTCTGGTCATACCTGGATCCCTGACACCCCCCTTCCCCAGGCTTGGAAGAAACCTGGGAACATCTTATGAGTGCTGATGTTTAGTTACCCCAGTCTCCTGTATCAAGTTCTATTTCGATCAGCATGTGGACCCCTATCATAACAAAGGACCCCCCTTCCCCAGGCTTGGAAGAAACCAGGAGACATCTTATGAGTGCCGATGTTTAGTTACCCCAGCCTCCTATATCAAGGTCTATTTCTAGCAGCATGTGGAGCCCTATTCTAACAAAGGACCACCCCAGGCTTGGGAGAAATCTGGGAACTACTTCTGAGTGCCAGGTGTCTCTCTGGGGGTTTTGTATGATCCAACACTACCTGCAAAGGAACATAGGCAACTAAGCCCTTCATTCACCCGATTAATAATGGATATCTGATGGAAAAGCTTCATACAATTCACGTTTTATAACAGTTCCCATGTGTGACTCCACTTCACCCATTGCTTTTACAGGCATCACAGGTATAGGAAGTGAAGAAAAATATATTTTTTTTTAATTGGCATTAAGCGGACCATACACAGAACAAATTTTGCCTTTTCGAACGAATTGTCAGGTGCTGTGGGTGGCCCTTGCGGCATCCTTCCACCCGACAAATTTCGGCCTGAAATACAATGGCCAGGAAGGAGAGACTCATCCAACCATACTGTTGATGGGCAAATCGACTGGTTTCACTCGTTTAGCCCACAGAGCCAAACGACAGAAATCTTACAGTGTATAGACATTTTTATATTTTTTTTCTAGGAAGAGGGCAATTTTCTTTTTGGCCTGCCCCCTTGCCCTTTTGAGTCTCTGTAGTCCAGCAGACAGTTGTAGTGCTATGGGACTCTAAAGCTGGGGATATATGTATTAAAATAGCCGGGCAATTTCCAAATGTTGGAAAAAATATTGTTCAAACAATGCCAGCAGCCAGTAGGCTGCAGCACTGATCAGTGTATTCTGAGCCTCCCCACTGTCAGAATACAACTTATGTGGATGGGGGTTCCATTCATTTATTTTTGATCAGCCTACTGACTGCTTGAGAACAAAGCGATCCATCTATGACAAGCCTTATGCTGGAAAAGAAACAGATGCAGGATTAGGAAGCAGACAGTAAATGCTGTTGGAAATAAAACATCCCACATTGGGTCCCCTGTTTTCTGGGCCCCGGCCATGGTTGTGCCCAATGCAGCCTCTTGTCCTGTGTCGCCGGTACTCCCTCTCTCTGGGATAACGATCGGTGGGAAGATGTGCTACAGAAAATAAAACTTGTCTGACCTCCTCACATACTGTATTACATCACGCAGCTCCGGGGGGGCCCGTCATATGACACAAACCATGAACCTAACCCTTTGTTTTTGGGTGTTTGGAGACAAATCTATCATCAGGCAGCCTCAGAGGTTAGCCCAACAGGCTGGAGCTTGTAGTTCCACAACAGCTGGACAGCCACAGGCTAAATGTCTCTTCCGTGTTCTCATGATGAGTCACAGAGAATACATAGCAACTGGTTAGTGATGGAATGTGTCCCTGTCACCCATTGATGAGCAGTCAGGAGTTCAGGGGACCAGAGGAGAGTTGAGTGAAGACAGCTGTTAGAAGAATCTCCGAAACCTGTTTATCTTCATCTATGCTCTAGTCCTTCATTATGTCCTCCTGCAGTCGCTGCCTCGCCAACTTTCCATGAACTGTCCTTCCTCTTCTGACATTTCAAATCTCCTCCGACTGCTGATGTTATGAAGGCCGAGTAATAGGCATGGCCTGTGCATTCATGTCGGTGTTTATCCCTTTATGATATAAAATCATAATAAAATTTGCAATGTTTGTTTATGTTCTGCTCTCTGGAAGTTGATGGGCATTTGCTGTTAAAGTGTTACGGAACCCACAACAGTAAAATCAGTCTGTATATGCGGTAAAGCATGCTTGTTATACTCACTGTGGAACCTTAGGTGTTAATCCTCCATGTTGTATAAAAAGGCTGTTTGATCTTGTCTTCTCTGATCCTTCCCTTCTTCTACTGTCCCCAGTCCATCTGTTCATAGTACATAGCTCTATGAGTCACTCTGCACATGATCAGTTTAGTGTGTATTGCTAGAGAGTATTTTGTTCTTTGGGAGGGTGCATGTGATCAGCACAGGGCCAATCAGCATTGCCCAGATAGAGGGTCAGGGGTTATGCAGCTTCATAGGACAGTCAGAGCAGAATGAAAACTCAGTGCTCAGCCAGACACTGATAGAAGTCACAAGACTGCTCTAACTGCTGATGAGAAAAGGTATTTAGCAGTTTGTATCCGCCACCCCCCTCTGCCAATCCCTCCACTGGCTTCCGATTGCCCAACGGATAAAATTCAAAATGCTAACATTGACTTATAAAGCTGTTCATAATATTGCCCCAAACTACATCACCGATCTGGTATCCAAATACCACCCAAAACGTACTCTCCGCTCCTCACAAGACCTCCTGCTCTCTAGTTCCCTGGTCGTCTCCTCCCATGCCCATCTCCAGAACTTCTCCAGGGCTTCCCCCATTCTCTGGAACTCCCTACCCCAATCCATCAGACTGTCACCTACTCTCCTCACCTTTAGGCGCACTCTGAAAACCTATCTCTTCAGGGAAGCCTACCCCCCCCCCCCCTCAGCTAATTACTGAACTCCTCCACTCTTCCTATCACTCCATCCCCCACAGCTATTTCCTCCTGTACCACTATCCCCTCCCTCCTAGATTGTAAGCTCCAAGGAGCAGGGCCCTCGAACCCCTCGTGTATTGAATCGTATTGTTACTGTACTGTCTCATGTATTGTCTCCCATTATAATGTATAGCGCTGAGCAAACTGTTGACGCTATATAAATCCTGTATAATAATAACTAAACTAATTGCATTTCCATGTTCTGTGTACTGTGGGAGACCAGATATAGTGAGTGCATAATTTGTTAGACATGCATTTCTTTTGAATTTTATGTTGCTATTCTGTCTCTCAGTGTTACAATACACCTACCATTCGATTTTCAGACTGATCATTTCTTTGTGAGTGGGCAAACATTCAAAATCAGCAGGGGATCAAATACTTATTTCCTTCACTGTACTTCATTATCCATTTTCAGTTTTCAGTGCTGTGATAATTTGACAATTACTCCGTCATGCAACACTGTATCCAAATATATTTTATTCAATTTTTGAGACAGATAGAGATTTTGGTGGTATTTTAAAACCATATGTGTTTGTAAATAAATTCAAAAACAGCTCTGGCAGCAAAAATGGTTAAGGGGCTATTTATGTAAATTTTCTTATTTTTGGCTGCCCTTCAAAGTGGAACTAAACCCTCCTATCGTTTACAGCTGCAGTCTTAGCCCCAGTTTGATCTGCAGTTGCTATAGCGCTGCACATGTGGTCAGTTATGACACTAGCCATTTGATGGCATGACAGTTCAGTTGAGAGCACAAGCAACTGTGAGAGTTCTCATTCACGGCGTGCCTTGGCTGGGAAAGCATTACATTGATGGGTTTAGTTTCGCTTTAGGTCTATGATGAGATGTAGTGTGGGATTGACACCACAGCTCATTTTTAGCCATGGTCCCCTTAATATTTCTATGACAAGTCCTGGTATTTTTTCTTACTCTGTGCGCCAGAAAAAACACAGCTGAGACTTCAGGTATGTGACAAATGCAGCAGTGACAGTAGGGAGTGGGCCCACATGGACTGACGCAACCATCCCTCTGGCAGAGGCTACAGACTGCCCAGTGCAGTGTAAATATGCCATTCAGAATTTCCAGTACAGTCAGACCATGACCTTAGAATACACAGGGCTTCTCAGATGCTGTCCAAACCCATCCCTGCAGACCCATATGGAAGAGAAATATATTTCCAATAAATTTAGAAATAAAAATTATACTTGCAACATATATTTACAATATATTGGCCTACACGAATATATTTTAACATGTATTCCAAAAATGTAAACTAAAATATATTTTCCAAAGGCATATATTTAAAAATATATTTTCAAATATATTTTCCAGATATTTTTGAACATCTAAAAAAATGCATTTAAACATATATTTTGTAAATATACTTGTAAATGCATTCCAAAAATGTCATTTAAATGTATTTTTCAAAGACATATATTTGAAAATATATTTTTAAATGATATTCTTCATATTTTTTTTAACAGATAAAGTCATTTAACCATATATTTTTACATATATTTGTAAATGCATTCCAAAATTATAATTGAAATGTATTTTCCAGAGACATATATTGGAAAATATATTTTAAAAATATATTTTCCAGATATTTTTGAACATCTAAAAAATGCATTCAAACATATATTTTTAAATATATTTGTGAATGCATTCCAAAAACGTAACTTAACTGTATTTTTTTAAGATATATACAATGAGGAACAGAACTATTTGAACACCCTGCGATTTTGCAAGTTCTCCCACTTAGAAATCATGGAGGGTCTGAAATTCACATTATAGGTGTATTCCCACTCTGAGAGACAGAAGTTAAAAAAAACTCAGGAAATCACATTGTATGATTTTTAAAGAATTTATTTGGCTTGCACTGCTGAACATAAGTATTTGAACACCTGAGAAAATCAGTGTTAATATTTGGTACAGAAGCCTTTGTTTGCAATTACAGAGGTCAAACGTTTCCTGTAGTTCTTGACTAGGTTTGCACACACTGCAACAGGGATTTTGGCCCACTCCTCCACACAGATCTCCTCTAGATCTGTCAGGTTTCAGGGCTGTCGCTGAGCAACACGGAGTTTCAGCTCCCTCCAAAGATGTTCTATTGGATTTAGGTCTGGAGACTGGCTAGGCCACTCCAGAACCTTGATATGCTTCTTACGGAGCCACTCCTTGGTTATCCTGGCTGTGTGCTTCGGGTCGTTGTCATGTTGGAAGACCCAACCAGGACCAATCTTCAATGCTCTGACTGAGGGAAGGAGGTTGTTGCTCAAAATCGCACAATAAATAGCCCTATTCATCCTCTCCTTAATACAGTCAGTGGAGTTGTCCTGTATGATGTTACCACCCCCATGCTTCACAGTAGGGATGGTGTTCTTGGGATGCAACTCATCCTTTTTCCTCCAAACACAATAAGTGAAGTTTAGACCAAAAAGTTCTACTTTGGTCTCATCTGACCACATGACTTTCTCCCATGCCTCCTCTGGATCATCCAGATGGTCATTGGCAAACTTCAGACGGGCCTGGACATGTGATGACTGGAGCAGGGGAACCTTCCGTGCAATGCATGATTTGAAACCATGACGGTGTAGTGTTCTACCAACAGTGACCATTGACCAGCTCCTCCCTTGTAGTTCTGGGCTGATTCCTCACCTTTATTATCATTAGTGATACCCCACGAGGTGAGATCTTGCATGGAGCTCCAGTCCAAGGGAGTCTGACAGTCATCTTTAGCCTCTTCCATTTTCTAACAATTGCTCTAACAGTTGATCTATATTCACCAAGCTGCTTGGCAATTGCCCCGTAGCCCTTTCCAGCCTTGTGGAGGTCCACAATTTTGTTTCTGGTGTCTTTTGACAGCTCATTGGTCTTGCCCATGGTAGTAGTTGGCGTTTTACTGACTGGGGTGGACAGGCGTCTTTAAAGAGCTCAGACATGTGCTACTAAGTTAGAATAATGAGTGGAGTAGAGGTGGAATTTTTAAAGGCACAGTAACAGGTCTTTGAGAGCCAGAATTCTTGCTGTTTCTTAGGTGTTCAAATACTTATGTTCAGCAGTGCAAGACAAATAAATTCTTTAAAAATCATACAATGTGATTTCCTGAATTTTTTTTTAATTCTGTCTCTCAGAGTGGGAATGCACCTACAATGTGAATTTCAGACCCTTCCATGATTTCTAAGTGGGAGAACTTGCAAAATTGCAGGGTGTTCAAATACTTCTGTTCCTCACTGTATTTGAAAATATATTTTTAAAATATATTCTTCAGATTTCAGAAAACATTTTTTTCAAAAAGTAATAAAAAAATTTTTTTTTTTTTTTTTCACATACTGTCACAGTCAGTGTCACAGATCACTGCCACACCAGTTTTATGATGGGTCTGTACTGCATTGTGAATTTTTTTTTCTAATTTCATTTTCCACAAAATTATGACAAAAGATGACAACTTCAAAAAACTCACTAAATACTTCAGACTGTCTACTATCTGAAAAGCTTTCATTTGGGGGGTATTTGCACTGTCCTGGCATATATAGGCCTCAAGAAATTAGATCAGCCGTCAGTGCAGATCTGTATGGAATACCAATGCAAGATGTAAAATCACATTAACATGGGAAGCGGTTGCTCTTCATACTGTACTGTGTGCTTCCCATGGCTGCAGCTGGCCATACACTGATCACATTTTGGCTAGTTCCTGGTGCACCCCCCCATCCCGCAACCAACATCCTTCAACTGAAAAATCAAAGGAGCCAGCCTAAAGAAAAATTGTTAGCTGAACAGTGGCTGCATCCAATCAGATGAGGCCACTGTTCAGGTATTCCGACATCAGCAGCTGTCTTTTTTGCACTGTGTAGCATAGATGGCCAGCCAATCAGCCTACATGGCCATTATAGTGCAAAAATCCAGTTTGGTTCAGAACTTATTCTCAATAATGAAAGGCCTCCATATAGAGATTATACTTCATGACTAGAGGACTGTTTGAACAAGATCAGTTTCACTATATCCAAAACCTCTTTTTCGATTTTGAATATAGTGGAGAAGTGTTAAAACCTCTGCCAGCCTCTCATTCTGTATGTGTATCTGTATTGATCACTGTTACTAGGAAAGAAAGTGAGCGTAACTTCCCAACAATACTACAATAAAAACTCCAAAGAGGTGCTATCTCTTCCCTATAGCAGTGATCCCTTCTCCAGAATATCATGATATGAAGGGGGAGGAAGCTGGTCCCAAAGAGAAGCTCCTGTGGCGATCACCTGGGCGCCAGTACCCTGCAGGACAGCCACAAGGAGACACCATTAGAAAGATGCAGGTAAAAAACATTCAGAACACAAGATACTGTAGGCTCCAGGTAAGTATAACTGCACAAAAAGATTTAAAATAAAAAAGTTGTGGGGGGGTGGGGGGGACAGGCACGCAAACATCATTAAAGGAGACGTATGGGAAATAAAAATAATAAACATACATACGCACCCCTGATTGCTCAGTTTTCAATCTTTACTGAGCAGAGAGCAGTGACTGTCAGTTACTGATCTCAGTTACTGATCTCAGCTCTGCCCCTCTAGTGCTCACTGGAGCGCCGGTCTGTGGAGGGGGCAGAGGCGTGCTGAGAAGCTGAGCCAGCTGCCAGTCCAGACATCTGGGAGGATCCCAACCTTAAAGTCAGGAGCCTTCCTGGGACTGGTTCAGTGATGTCAGCCGACAGCAGACTTTAGCCCACTGTTGGTTCAATGCAGAAATAAGTACATTCCTGTGACCTAGAAGTGAAGTATGGCCATAAAAGCTTTGACCGTACCTCTGTTTTAAAGCTTCAAGTGTTACTAAACCCAGGACCCTGCATTCACTCTATCTGGTCTCCCACAGTACACATGGAAGTACAATTATTTTAGTAAATATAAACTGCTAAATACCATCAGCAGTTAGAGCAGTCTTGTGACTTCTATCAGTGTCCAGCTGAGCACTGATTAAAGCTTGTAGGAGGAGTTTTCATTCTGCATGTCCTAGGAGGCTGCATGACCCCTGACCCTCTGCCTGGATAGTGCTGTTTGGCCCTGTGATGATCACATGCACCCTTCCAAAAAAAAAAAAAAAAAAACCCTCTCTAGTAATACACACTAAACTGAACATGTGCAAAGTGACTCCCAGACTTCTGTAAGATTGATTGGGGACAGTAGAAGGGGAGGATCAGAGAAGACAGGATCAAACAGCCTTTTTACACAATTCGGAGGAATAACCCCTTAGG